GGAAGGGCAGCCACAGCAGGAGGGTGGGGTGGAGTGAAGGGATGGGGCCTCCTGGCGGGCCCATGCTGACTGAGCCCTCCTCTCTTCTCTCCCAGCTGTGGTGAATACCACTGGTGCTGGTGGCAGCGGGCTGACCTTTGGGGGAACCATGGGCACAAATGCCCTGAGATTCTCGAGCGGAACCCACAAGACCTATTCCATGAGGACCACATCTGGCGCTTGCAGGAGTGTCCTCAACTGAGCCCCAGGCATGGGGAGACCCATATCCCTTCCCCCCACAATCACAAGAGATTCCCATGGTGGTCCCATCCCTGGTCCCAAGACCACAAAGCAGTCTGAAAATGATGTCACAATAGCTTCCAATAAACAGTCTCTTTCTGGGGCCTGAGTGAGCCCATGGCCAACACCTGGTCTGGCTTCATCTGGCTAGGGGGAGAGGGAGTGGAGAGGGAGGAGCCCCCTAGGGAGGACAGGGTCTGCTCTGAGAACTAGAAGCCTCTTGTGCAGGAGATGGGGCACTGCTCTAAGGAATTTGGCTTTTATTCAGGGCTGGGGCCAGTTCCAACTCCTGAAGAAGCCCAAAGACACCTCAGAGTTGTTCTGGCTTTGCCAGGAAGTGTGCAATGGAGTCCTCTCCTGCTGGGGGGGTGGAGCTGTTTGCCCCTCCCCTATCCACTTGCTGCCAGAGTACATTCCTCAGGCCCCTGTTTCTGGGTGGACCAGCCCACTCTCAGATCAGCCTCCCTCAGCCCTTCCTGGTACTTTGTCTGCCAGGCCCTGGGGCCCTGGGGCCCTGGATAGTATGTGTGTTTGAGGTCCTGGAGGGGGTTCTCTGGGTCTGGGATTCTGTGTGTAGGGGAGTGGCAGTGGGAGGAGGTCTGAATGTGTTTGAAGGGGGTGTAGGGTGAGGGGGACACCAGAGTATAGGTCCCTGGTAGTGGCTCTGCCTAAGTCTGTGGGCTGCGGGATGGTTTGTGTATCTGGACCCCTGAGGGGGCATCTGTGCTAAGTCTTTGCTTGATGGGGCATCTGTGTGTCAGGTCTCTGACTTGGGGTCTGTATGACTAAGTATGTGGGGCGTTTTTGTGGCCTGTGCTTGGGGAGGTCCATACAGGGTGGACAGCAGCACATATGATTGGTACTGGGGAGGAGGAGGGAGGTCTCTGTGTCTGAGACCCCCCTGGAGTGGTGGTGGTGGTATGTGTGTGGGGTGGGGGTCTATCCAGGGAGTGTTGATTTATGGGGGGAGGGGAAGTCTGTATATTTGATCCCATGGTCAGGAATTTTACCATGTTGAGGTGGGGATGGGTGGGGGAGTGGAGAAGTGTACCACTGGTGTCCCAGCAGCCCACTAATGAGGTCCCCACCCAAGGTGTCAGGAGAGCCGGGCCCTCCCTCTCCTTGCTAAGGCTCCTCCCGTTACCCTTCTCACTTCCCTTCCAGCTCCTTCTATGTGTCTAGGTTTGGGGGCTGCCAGGCCATGCTCCTGCACCAGTCAGGATGTAGAAGTGTGGTACCACTGGTAGGGTGCCTGAGAGCCCCCTCTGCCTCTTTGGCTGAGAACAGCTCCCCTGTTGCCTCCAAGGGGGCAGGCTGGGCTTCAGTAAAAACTGGGCTGGAAGTCCACATGTGTAGGCACAAATGCACATAGGGAGAGACTGGAGCGAGTGATATATGACCCTGAGCTTTATTGGAAACATGGAGACCAAGCATGAGGGAAAGGGAGAGAGAGCCCAGGCAGCCAAAGAAGTCCCCTGGGAGACCCAACCTCAGTCGTGGCTGGGGGAGGCCCAGCACCAGGAGCATTTCCACACCCAAGAGGGCCTAGGGCCAACTGGTTCCTTAGAAGCCACAAAAGTCCAAGTGCCCAGAGCAGACCAGTCAGGGTTGGACCTTTGCTCAGGGTTTTGAGAAAACCAGTCATTCAGACTCTTGGGGATGGAGGAGAGCTGCCAAGACACGCCAGCATGGAGAGCCCCACCTCCCTGAAAGAAATGAAGAGACAAGCAGCAAGGGTGGGGGTGGGGTTCGAGAAATTGGGGCAGCAGTGCGGTCAGGTCAGGCCGGCTGGTTCCCGAAGCCCTTCCGTGTCAAACCCAGGCCCTTTCGGAGCACTGGGCCGCCGTGGAGTTGGGCCGGTTCACTGCGGAGCCCGGTACATACACGCACAGCGGGAGGCACTAGGCAAAGCGCACCAGGCGGCCGCTGCCGCAGCTCTGTCCGCAGGGCGCGCACATTCCGGTGCTCACGGCTAGGTTCCCGCTGCAGGGGGCGCTGCAGGCGCTGCCGGTCACAGGCCTGGAGCCGGACACGCAGAGGTCCCCACAGACAACGCCACCGCGGGAGCTGCTGACACCTGCGGGTGGAGGCCAGGGCTTAGTCGCTGTGCCAGATGGTGGCCAGCAGCTCCTGCCGGCTGACCAGAGCCCATTTCTCTTGTTCAGAGCTCCTCCCCTTTATTCTTATTCCTGGCTTCCCTCCTCACACCTGGGCACTCCGTCCTGCAGTCTAACTTCAAGGGTGTATCCTTGATAAACTGTTAGCCCAGCCCTCCCTATAGGCAGAAATAGCTATTAAAGCTATCATAATCATTCACTGCCACATTCCTCTCCTTCCTTCCAGGTCTTCAAATTGTGGCTGTATATTTGTAAATGAAGTTTCATCGGAACCCAGCCAGACCAATTTGTTAACTATTGCTTATGGCTACTTTCACATTACAACAACAGATTTGAGTAGTTGAGACAGAGACTGCATGGCCCACAGTCTAAAATATTTACTCTGTGGCCCTTTAAGAAAAAGTTTGCCCTACAGGAACCCCAAGCCCTTATTTCAGAATCCACAGCATAGGCTACTTACAGACATTTATAGCACCAATGCCTTCACACAACCTTGTGGGGAGAGCAAAGAGACAAAAATTAATTGGGGGAGAGCAAAGCTTGCAAATTCCCTCCTCCAAGTAGTCCTGATGCAAATTAGATGAAAATAACATGCAAACATGTTCCTGGCTCTAAGCACAGTTTGGGGAGTTTGAAAAGACATCCCTCCCACAGGTAGGGTCCCACCTCTGCTCCTCGCCCTCCAGCAGGCGCCTGTAGGTGGCGATCTCGATGTCCAGGCCCAGCTTGGAGTTCATCACCTCCTGGTACTCCTTGAGCAGGCAGGCCATGTCCTGCTTGGCCTTCTGCAGGGCGGCCTCCAGCTCAGCCAGCTTGCAGCGGGCATCGCTGATGGCTGTCTCACCCTGCTGCTCCGACTGGGTCACTGCAACCTCCAGCTTGGTGTTCTGAGAGGCAGGGGAGGGTTATTAAGGCTCCCATTCTGGATTTAGGGTCAGAGGCCGGGCATCCAATGACCATTGACTGCTGGAGGAAGAAGGGACCTTACCCATTTGTGAGGTCAGGGCTTGCAAATTAGTGCTCCCAGGAATGTTGGCACGGTGATTTTAATTTTTGAAATTTAACACAAAAATCCAAATTCCTGGTTTCTCTTGAAAAATATCTAAGGATCTGGGCCCACTGGACCTGCATTTTCATGAGGCCTGCCTCAGTTGAATCTGACTAGCTTTGCCCTTTATGCTTTCTAGTTGACCACACCCTAGTGCCTTCAGTACAGCCTAGTTCACCCATTTACCAACCTCTGGGACATCAGAGGGTGCGATCACTGATCTAGAACAATGAGCCAGAGAGGTGAAATGGCTTACCCCAAATCATGAGGTAAGCCAGTGGCAGGGTTGGTTTGAGAACCCCAGTTACCTGCCCCTCACTGGTGCTATTTCCTCTGACCCTTTATGTCCCCAAGATCAGGAGAATCCAGGTGATTTCATTCCCCTCCATACTGCTCCCCCATCCCCCTCCCATCCCCATTCAGTGGAATGGAGAGCATTTTCCATGGAAGAGACTCATCTGATGTTTGCTACTTGTTCCTTTTCCCACACTTTGGCAAGGTGTCAACCTTGAGCCCCTTGCTGAAGGCTTACCCCCCTCTCTTTCTATACTGAGGGTTGGGCCAGGCTCCTGTACCTGGCACTTGGCATTCTCGACCTCGGCAGTCAACCTCTGGACCATGCGGTTCAGCTCATTGATCTCCTCTTTGGTGCGGCGCAGGGTCTCCCCATGACGGATCACTGTGGCCTTCATCTCCTCGCACTGGGTGGAAGCAGAGACACTCATGAGACACAGGATATGTCATTCCACTGAGCCCCACCCCAGTTGCCTGCCCTTCCCTTGCCTTTCAGCATCCCTCCTCCTAGGGTGCTGGGAAGGGAGCCCTGGGTACTCACCTTGGTGCGGTACCAGGACTCGGCCTCAGCCCGGCTGCGGCTGGCGATGTCATCGTACTGAGCCTTGATCTCGGCAACAATGCAGTCCATGTTCAGGTCCCTGCTGTTGTCCATCTTGACGACGACTGAGGTGTCTGAGATGTGGGCGTGGAGGACGCGGATCTCCTGTGGGAGCAGGGGAGTGGTAAGAGCTTCTTTGAACAGAACCCTGCTCTCAGCAAGTCCCCCTCTCATGGTCTTTCCCTGTTTCCTTCCCCTGCTTCCTCCACAGACTCACTGTCTGAAGCCCCAAGCTCCAGGATGAAGTTTCCCTCTCAAACTGGGACCTCTCAATACACCTTAAACCTAGGATCCCACAGCTGAGAAGAGCCCATGTCTGAGGCCCACTGCCTGACTTCAGTCAGGGCTTCCTGTCTGGATCCTTGGGTTCTAGGACCAGAATTTACCAATTTGTGCTAATTGTCACCACAGTAACTTGTTTGGGGCATGGTAGATGAGACATCAAGCTACACTTCTTCACCTTGTGACAGTAGACCTGCCACAGGTGACTCCACTCTGCTCGGCACTCCTCCCACCTAAGGGGTTCAAAAGCCAGATGGTGGCAAGTGCTTTCCAATGTCTGACTCACACCCTCCTTGCTGCTCCACTGCTCTGCGTTTCCCTCTCACCTCCTCATACAGTCGCCGCAGGAAGTCGATCTCCTGGGTCAGGGCCTCCGCATTGGCCTGCAGGTCTGATTTGCGCAGGTAGGCACAGTCCACATCCTAAAGGGCAGAGAGTGGCACACGGGTCTCACTGGGGAGACCACACAGAGCTCTTCCCACCATGTAGGGCAAACTCCCTGGAGACCCTTCTCAGCTGCTCATCCCAGTGTCCGGTAGCATGGTGTTGGTGACATCCTCCTTGCAGTTAGAGGAGTCAGGAGCAGGTCTGAATAAGGGAGGGGGACCCTGAGGATTCCTGGCTCTTCCTCTGGTACCCACTGGGGTGATGCCTCTTGAACCCATATCTTATACCATCACTGAAACTTAGGATCTAGTGTAAAATGTGTCAGTTTTAGTGATGTCCACCCCTCTCTGCTTTGGAATCTCTGGAATCTCTTCTCTGTGG